TTGTTACTATTTTCTCCACATATATAGGAAATGATTTTGAGATTAAATGATAGATTTCTCTTTTTGAAAGGGCATCACTTACCAGTAACTACCATGCTGCTCATGTTAGAGTTCGGGCTATTGAGTACACTGCCTGAAAGAAGTTCGTCAGATCCTCTCTAAAAAGAAAGAGACAGTAAGAGGGTTTTTCTCTATTTTGTCATTTTAATCTTGTTATTAAAATGTCAGCTTGACATGGCAAACCCTTAGGAGGACTTAAACTAGCATTATCAAAACTATTCAGATTGGGCAGATTCTCTTTCTTCCAGTAGGTGACAGCCAAATAATTGAAATCTAGGTAACACAGTATATTTACATAGCATCTCTCATTCCAAAAACCACACACACACACACACACACACACACACATACACACACACACACACCCCCCTTCATCCACCACTGAAACACAGCCACAAGTAGAGAGATAGCCAGAGTTGTTCAACACCAAATACACATTTCAGGATAAAAATGTTAAAAGTACTGTATACCAATGAATGTACAAGCAAAATTTAGGCAAATAAAAAAGTACAGATAAAATGTCAAGGCTAGCACACCTATTCTCCTGCATGTGAAATTGGTAGTTTTCATTTTGAGCCTCTTTATAACATAAGCGAACCCTGAAAACAAAACAGAAACATTTAGGGGAAGCAAGGAAAAACTGAGGTGAAATATTTCCTCTTGATTTGGAATGGAATTAGAGCCATCACTTATATTGTTCCTTAATCTTTTCTTAGAAAGTTGCAGTCCACGTCCAAGTCGGTGTTGAATTTTTAAATGATAAGTTTTTTCTCCCAGCTTTAAGTTAAATGCCCACATAAGCTTAATGCAGGCCTTATTTTTTTTTAAATTACTTCCCCTTTCAAGTATGAGGTTTCACTTGATATAATCAAAGTCATACACCTACTCATCCACGCTGGAAAACTGAGGAAAGATCTGGTAAGTAACATACAAGTAGCATTTTGTGCCATTTTTTTGAGAAAGGGGAGAAGGAGTCCTTGTTGGTCTTAAGTTTAAGAAAAGTCATGGCTTCACTTCCTTTGGATATGCTACTGCATATTTTGTGTCCAAGAGATGTTATGATTTCAGTTATAAGTCTTAATTCAACCCAACTTCCAACAGTACCAATGTTCTCCACATTAATTCAGGTCAATGAGTTACTGCTAAAATGGAAAAGTACCAATTACTTAATCACCAATGTCACTTTGGTGCAGAATCTTAGTATTGACTGTAAACTGCTTTATGTGGGCACTCCTTGTAAGTACTGAAACTTTTTAGTCTGTGCTGGCTTTGACACAGAGTCTATTCCACTCTTAGAAAACCACCAAGTATGTTTTGGATTGTGCTCCATTCTCAACAATAAACATATTGTTTAAACTAACAAGGGAACATGGTCCCGAGTAGTATAAATGCACAACGCATATAGTCAAAATTTCCACTGCAATCCCTCTCACACACAAGCAAGAATATTAGTATTTCTGGCAAATTTGGAAAATCCCTGCCCTGCCTTCAGCATAATAAATGAGATGACACGTTAAATCTATTTTGGACACCCAAGCTTACTCTCTCTCTCTCTCTCTCTCTCTCTCTCTCAGTTTGTTACATAAGAGATTTCTAAATTCTCATCCCCACCTCTCAAAAATCTGAAAAGCTTGCTGATTCCATCTTCTATTTTACCCATCAAATAGTTTAATTACATCAAAACTTGCAAAAGGAAAACATACTCCTATGAGGCGTCACTGTTCCAGCGTAAATCTATTTTTAATTAGATCATAATTAAGAAAAGTTTAACTCGACAAAACTGAAAAAACATTCAGAAAGGTTATAGACTCTTCACTACTCAGCCTGTAAAAGTCTCCAGAGATCATATATGGATACAAAAAAGTCAGGTGATATCTGACAGATAGAAGCAACCAAAACAGCAGTTGAACATAAGTTCCTTCTCTTTCTCTTTGATAAGGTGTAAGCTCAGCTTGCTCCAGTAATATTTAAAAAGGGAAATCACAGCAAATAAGACAGTTCAATAAAAATAATAGAAACAACAACATTTTAAAATACTTGCATTCCCACGAATTAACTCAATTCAACTATGTGTTTCAGGATACTGGGACTAGTTTATCAGAGTTTAAGAAGTTAGATCTAGGGTAAAACTGCTAAATGCCAAGTAGGTAGGAAAACCCAGTAGCACTAAATAAGTTGGCTACTCAGTCACGCCCTTGGTTTTCATAATAGGCCCAAGTGGTTTTCTTCAGAAATACATAAAATATATATTGTATTTAATGAATACTCCTGAAGTAACCTACGAAGTTGTACTACCATATATACCTGAATCCAAGACAAAGTTACCCTCCCTCTTTTAGCAAGGCACCAGGGAGTACAAACACCCTGGTGGAGCAGTCACCAGAGTGTACAAGCACTGGGCAGAGGTCAGAACACTCTGACTGCCTCCCCCTCCCACCACTTTCCCTAGTGCAGCAGCGGGGGTAGGTAGCGGGCTGAATTTAAGACAACCCTCGAATAACAAGATTCTATACACGGAAAATTATAACAAGTTTATAGATCTTCCAAGTAGAGAATCTGATGGGGTGGGGAATCTTAAATTCAAAGTTGTCTTTGATTTGGGTAAATACAGGCAACCCCTGGTTAGCGCTCTTAATTGGTTCTGGACAAACCAAGTACTAACTGAAACAGCATTAACCAAAACTTATTTCCCTGCTGAAATTAATGTAAATAAATATAACTGATTACCGCCATTTCTTGCCATCACTTCTCACTGCCACTACCGCTTCTCCCCACCCCCCTGCCAGCCACTCTGGCCCATAGTGTCAGCCTGGGCCCCGCGCTAGTAGCACCCCACTCTCAGCCCCTGCCAGCCCTGGCCCTGGCCCCAAGCTCATGCCCGACCACCCACTTGTCGCTACTGACCATTGCTTTTCCCCACCTGTCAGCTGCTCCAGCACCATGTGCTAGCCCAGGCCCCCCACTCCTGCTGCCCTGCTCTGGGCCCCCGCTGGGCCTGACCCCGGACAGCAGTACATGACCCGTGCTCACTCCCGCCAGCCCACTTGCTGCTACTTGCTGCCACTGCTTCTCCCCAGTCACTCTGTCCTCATGCCAGCTGGGGCCCCATGCTCCTGTCACCCCGCCTTGGGCCCCCACTGGCACTGGCCCTGGGCACCAGCACAGGCCCCATGCTCACACCTGCCTGCCCATTTGCTGCTGCTTCTACCCACCTGCCGGGCTCTCTGACACCACATGTCAGCCTGGGCCCTGCGCTCCTGCCGCCTTGGCCCTAGGCTTGGGCACCACCGGCCCTGGCCCCAGGCACCAGCCCAGGTCCCAGGCTCACACCTACCCACCCACTTGCTGTTTCTCGCTGCCACTGCTTCACTGAGCGCTATAACAAAACTGGCTTAGCGCTAAGTGGAATCAGGTATGAATTTTAAATGAGTGCTATAGCAAAATAGAGCTAAGTGAAACAGCATCAAGCAGGGGTTGCCTGTAATGTATTAAAATAATTTAACTTTCGTGGGGGGAAGAGGGAGGCAAAGAGGAGGCATGCAACAGAGTTACAAAAGACTCTCTCATAGTGATGAGTCAGGTTGCTGTTATTCAGATAATTCTAAAGTTCTTCATAAACCAGTTTCAGAGTTATAAGGTCCCACAAGGAAGACTTCCATTCTTGTCAGTATAGCAAGCTTCTCTAGATGTATTCCTTCCATAAATGGAATCTGGCAAATATTAGGGGTACACTAATAAAGATCTTTTTGGCCCATACCAATAGTCAATTATTAACCAGCCATATCGGTCAATATTGATGTGATAATTGATTTGGTTACATGTAATGGCAAATGACATAAATAAACTTTTTTTTTTGGCATGCTCCAACAGCTTCTGGTGTCACATGTATCAGAGTCCCAGCACCTAAAAATGACAGCGAGGCCACGTGAACTAAAGCTTGTCAAATTAACTTTAGTTCAAGCATTGCTGCCACCATTTTTTAAGTGCAGGGACACTTAAGGGGGCAGAATCGAACAGGGTGAGGACAGTTGTGGGCTGCCCACTGCAGACTCGGGGCTCTCCACTCTGCTGCTTATGCCCCGGGAGCCCCATGAGGGCCACGCATCCCCATGCCCACTGGTGCCAGCCAGGCAGGGGTGCATGGCCAGCATGGGACTCCCAAGGGAAAGGCAGCAGAGTGGAGAGCTCCGAGCCCTCAGAAGGCAGCCTGCATCTGCCCCGTGCATAAAGCTGGATGGGTACATACCCCTCCATGCCACCTCTGGGGGGTGCACGCAGTGACGGGGAGCCCCCCCCCTTAGATGAGCCACGCATGGGTTTGTCCTGCTCCCTGCCCCAGGTCCCATACATTGCCTTGCCTGCGCAACGCCCCAGCCCCACTCCCTCCCTCACCATGGAGGCCTCAATCTGCCCCATCCACGCCCCTTCTCCCCCACAGACATACACACTTACCTGAAGGAAGCTGCTCTCCATGCTGACTGGCCGTTTTCCTGGCTCCATGCATGCATGCGGCCACACATGCACACGACACTCCCTGTGTCTCACTCCCAGCAGCCCCAAGGAAGACCCCTTGCAGGGTAGAATGCTGCCCACCTGCAAAGGGGAAACTCGCTGTTTCCCAAGGGAACCCAGGCATCCGGAGGCCCCAGCCAGAAGGCATAATTATATTTATCAGAGAACATTAATGGGCTAAAATGGCCAAAAAAGCCAATAGCCGATAATGGAAATTTCCCTTTATTTGGTGCTGATCCAATATGCAACCAATATATCAGTGTACCTCTAGCAAATATTCAGGAATGACACATTTTTAATTGGTTCAATACTGTATCTTAGTAACAGGCAGCCTCAATAAAGAGACCAATATCCATGCTTTAATAAATAAACTTATCCAACCAACAAATTATTGCCTGTACAAGTGAAATAAAAAATTAAATCAGCTAAGGCATATAAAACAGGTGACTTATCTATCTAAAGAGACTAAGATACAAAATTGGTTGCAATAAGTTTAGATAGGTAAATGACTATCATTAATTCCAGAATAATTTTTTTAAGTGGGCTTATGAACTAGTCATTTAATGGAAGACGTTTAAGAGTAAAACCTAACACCCTCATTACTATAATACCAGATCACTATTCTAATTACAGAATATACAAAGATACATCCCTTTATTTTGCTTCCATAAAGCAGATATGACTATGGTTTTCCTATGTTTGTTTTTACCATTTTCAAATGTTTCAAGGATAGCTATGAAAGAGAAGAAATGAAGCTTGAAGTCTTTCTATATTTTGGGAATGAGGATCAACAAGCTAAAGGTACTTGTGAAAAAAGATTTTTGTTGCCCATATACTTAGGGACAATTATTCCATTGTTTCAGTGGAACACAGATATAGAAGTATAGAAAGTTAGGACTGGAAGGGACCTCAGGAGGTCATTTAGCATGCAGTAGACTGGCCAGGGTGGGTGCTAGGTGCAGCAGAAGTCCTGGACTGGGCACCGTATGTGTTGTAATCCCAGACTGGCCAGAGCAAGCATCCAATGCAGCACAGTCCAGGGCTAGCTGGAGCTGGCACCACATGCATGGCACAGTCACAAAGTGGGCACTGCATGCACCACAAGTCCCTTAGCAGCCAGAGCAGGTCTTGTTCGGTGCATGCCGAGTGTGGATCAACTCTAACACCAAGGGGTAGCACTGGGGGCCAGATCTTGGACACCCCTATTTTAAATGGGTTACATACAACCATTCTGCAGCACAACCACCTCATTTACAAACTGGAACAAACTCCTCAAACAGTCTGTGTATAGATTCAGCTGGCATCTCATCATCTCTGAACCTCTTTCCTCTTAATAAGGGTAACCCACTTACCCTCTCTGGAGGTCAACCAAAAGAGACGAGGGGTTTAACATAGAAGGTCTAATACCAATAAACAGCAGTTCTTGAAATTACACCCTTTTCTAGCTGTAACACTTAACTGGGCATAATATGCATCATGCAACTTGTACTGAAATGTCTTAGGGGTAGTTAAGCTTCCTCTACAGAGTGATGAAGAGGAAAAGTCTATTTATTGACCTACAGCAGAGGCGTCAAATTCATCCAGCCCAGCAGGCCATGTGAGAAGTGTGGGGCTGTTCTACAGGATGGCCTGGGTCAGAACCAGTTCAAAGCTCACATGTGGAGCTGTCACAAAACTCACACTGCATGAGGTAGATTAAAAAAAATAAATAAATAAAAAAAAAAATCAACAATTTTTTTTAATTAAAAGTATTTTTTATTTAAATCAGATTTTATTTAATTATATTTTAAGATGCTTTTTAAATAACAAATAAATCTATATAAAGATAGTTTTAAATTTAAGATATGGAAAAGCTCAAAGATATCATCATGGAATAGGGATTATAACTTCTAATTAAATACTATTTGAGACAATATATTCATGAAACTTTTTTAGAGAACTTTTATAAATAGGTCATAGGCCAATATTAAGGGCCCAATATTATGGGGTTCCCAGAGGTTCCTCTATAGATTAGTAAAGATTAAAGAAAACCACTCACTGGGACAATGGAACTCAGTACTCTATCTAAAAGAACCCATTAAACATCTCTGCGATGCTTAGTTTCAGTTCTCAAACTGTGGATTTGTGTCTCCAGAGATATCCTGGTTAACAGCAATATATGGAGATGAGAGATAACAGAGCTGATTATCTACCTATCAGCCCCTCTGCAAGTTTGTGTACTGGTCAAGCCCTTATCTCTCTCTAAAAGTACAAAGTTTCAAGAAGTTAAATGAATAGAGGATTGTTGGGGGTGGAGTAGATCTGGGCGAGGAGGAGGAGTCTGGAGATAAATTCAAGGAGGGAGAGGCAGTAGAAACAAAAGAGAAACATTTTGAGCAGAATATTCCAGAAGTCTTGAGGGATAAGTTTCTGAGTATAGCTTCTCCATTGATTTGAGATCTAATAAGGAAATGGCATGGTAGAAGGGATATTTTAATGAAGTTTCTCTACCTGTGGGTAAGACAGGCATGCATGCAAAATGCAAACAGTGTAACAAAGAAATGCAAGGCCTGGTAGCCCAAATAAAACAGCATCATGAGCAGTGCTCCTTCCCAGGAGGAAGCTGCTTTGAAGATGATCAATGGAACAGGCTTGAACATGCAGGATTGCCAAGTTAGTAAAATTTCTTATTTCATACTTCTTTCTTAACGACTGCCTTTCTTCCCTGTCCATATCTTTTGGGTGGACTTTTAGACTATTTGAATTCTCATAAAAATAACGTCTGAGCAAAAATACAGTCGTTACTTTATGGAATATAAAATTTTAATGCAGTTGTGATGTAAAATAATGGCTAAAATAGGCAGATCTTCGTTTTACAGTTTCACTTCTAAAGTAGCACTGAGGGCAATGAGTAATACTAAATGAGCAGGACAACAGTGACTGCACTGACTTCTTTTGTTCAAGAGGGTCTATCCTCAACATATAAGATTCTGACTATCCATCTTCAACATCGTCATCATCACTGTCTACAGTTTCAGTTATCTACTAATAGGTCCCTTTATGACCAGGTGACCTATCACCTGGACAAGGGGGAAGAAATTGATATCATATATCTTAACTTTAAAAAAGCCTTCGATCTGGTATCCCATGATCACCTCTTGGCAAAACTGGCCAACCGAGGACTTGGCTTCTCCAAGATCCACTGGCTGGGGAATTGGCTATGTGGTTGGACCCAGAGAGTGGTGGTTGAAGTAAGTCAATCGTCATGGTGCCCTGTGACCAATGGGGTCCCACACGGCTCTGTCCTTGGGCCTATATTGTTCAACAGCTTCATTTATGATGTGAACATTGACGTCAGAAGCAGACTAGTCAAGTTCACCGACGACACCAAACTTTGGGGTAAAGTGTCCACACCTGAGGACAGGAGGGCAATCCAGGTGGACCTCAGCAGGCTCAAGAAATAGGCAGACAAGAACCTGATGGCATTTAACATCGAAAAATGCAAGGTTCTCCACCTTGGGAGGAAAAACCCACATCATGGTTATAGGCTCGGCAGTGCTACACTGGCTAGCACTTTGGACGAAAGGGACTTGGGGGTCATTATTGACCACAAGATGAACATGAGCCTTCAGTGTGATGCTGTGGCTTCTCAAGCAAATCCCAGGACATCATTCTCCTGTTGGACTTGGCCTTGGTGAGGCCACAGCTGGAGTACTGTGTCCAGTTTTGGGCTGCACAATTCAAAAAGGACGTGGAGAAGCTTGAGAGAGTCCGGAGGAGAGCCGTACACATAAGAGGTCAGGAAAACAGACCTTATAATGAGAGGCTGAGGGCTATGGGACTCTTCAGCCTGGAAAAGCACAGGCTCAGGGGTAATCTGATAGCCACCTATAAGTTTATCAGGGGTGCTCACCAGGTTCTGGGGGAGCATCTGTTCACCAGAGCACCCCAAGGGATGACAAGATCAAATGGACACAAACTCCTCCGTGACTGTTTCAGGCTGGAAAGAGACATTTGGATGTCTACCTTGCTGGGATCCTATGATCCCCTGCTGATTTCCTGCCCTTTGGGCAGGGGGCTGGACTCGATCTTCCAAGGTCCCTTCCAGCCCTAATGCCTATGAATCTATGTGGACCCAGGTCCCTGGCAACTGCCCCCCTCCCCTCCAGCAGGGCTGTGGGGGCAAGGGGCACCAGCAAATTAGGGCTGCTCAGCGTCACAAGGCAATGGGGGGTAGGGGGAGGGGAAGGACAGCTGCAGCCGGACTCGCATCCTGCTGAGCGAAAGAGACAAGGGGAGCTCTGATTTTCCATTATAAGAAACCCAAAAATCAAACACATCAAACACCAAAACGTATAGGTATTTAGAATTTATTTTATTATCGTGATTGAGGCACTGGTAGGCTTCCAAATTGCTTTAAAATTGTAAACATATCAATAAGATATTGTGTTCAACTGATAGCTATATAGACACACACAGTGGCATTTCATTTTAACCATGGAAAAACATGGATTTCAGTGGTTTTAGTCAGATAACTTGCCATTTTTAACTGAGAAAACCAGGATCCTTGCTAATAACACATGACTGTGGTGCTCATAATACTTCCATAACAACCACTTTGCAGCAGCTGCTCTGAAGAAAGCAGGAGGAACCAAATTAATACTTCCACAAGACGTGCAATGGAATTCAGCAGTGGACTGTTTTGAGCAATGTATTGAAAAATGGTCTAAACTGACAACAAGTTGTGAACAAAATCCTGACAAAATAGATGGAACTGTCATAGCCAAAGTTCTCTAAATTGAGCTAAAGAGAAATGTAGAACATATGCTAACTATCCTGAAGCCTATTTCTGTAGCCTTGAACAAAGTGCAGGGAAATCACTGTTTTATTGCTGATGCTGTTGAAATTTGGAAGGAGCTGAGTGAGACCTTGAAAAGAGAAATACTCAAGGACAGATTTAAATTACAGGCATTAAAAAATTGAATGGATCAAACACCATCTCCAGCTCATTTTCTTGCCAATATTCTCAACACTTGGTACCAGTACTTGGGTCAGTTCTTAACTGTTAAAGACAATGAGTTGGCTATGACATGGGCATCTAGCAATCATCCCTCCATAATACCAATTATAATACAATTCAGGGCTAAGGGTGAACCATTCAAGAAATGCATGTTTGCTGATGAAGTGTTAAAGAAAAAGTCACACCAGTGAACTGGTGAAAGTCCCTTAAGCACCTGGATCCATCAGAGATTACTGAAGGGATAATCCAGCTTTTAATAGCAGTAGCTTCTTCTGCAGGTGTAGAAAGAACATTTTCTTGCTTTGGACTAATTCATTCTAAATTGAGAAAATCGCTTGGGAACTGAAGTAGGAGGAAAGCTTGTCTTTCTTTTCCAGTCTATGA